GTTACTCGGTGGCCGATGACTTCAAGTTTGAGAAGCCTTCCTCCATACAGGGTCGGTGTGAGGAGGTCTCGAGATACATCTGCTCAATTACCGAAGAGGTCCTCCCTACGGTCCATAAAGACTGCAACTGGGCCGATAAAGACATAGTGGTCCCCGACTCCGAGAAGGCCATTACCACCCATGTCGAGGGATATCTGAGTGTTTACACTTATCCCTTTACAATGGGACTAGTGGACCCGATCATTATAGATTTCTATAAGAGATACGAGGTATGCCTCGGTCAGATTCATCCTTCATTGTGGAGGATTGTTATCCTTCTTCGGTTTTTTGTGAACAAAATCAACTCCTATTGGTTTACTATGGATCACCTACTCCGTTTGTACAGTCCCCGAATATTCTGAGGGGTGCTGATAAAGCTTATGCGTCGGGCCAGTAAAGCTTCGTTCTCAAGTATCGATGAGGACTAGAATCGAGGCTGGCAAAGGCTTTTTGTCCGGGTGAGGACTTCGGACTTCATTCCGACTGAATGCAGGCCATTCCCCGAGAAGTGAAATGCGTCACGTAAGTAAAACTTCCCTTCGAACGTTGATTTTATGTTCACTTCTCTTTTCCTTATTGGTATTTGTGGTGGTGCAGTCGTCGCTCGAGTCCCAAATGATGTCCCTCGACTCAAGGAGTGGGTCGAAGGTATCGTTTTACAGATGCCCCACTCCGAGTGCTCGTGGCACAAACTTTCGAAGGGCCGTTGGGAGGCTCATTCCCATGGAAAGATTCCTTTCCTAAGTAGGTGGTGTTAGGCTTCTTCTTTTAACATCAAGTCTTTATTTCCTTTAATTTCTCTTGGAGGTTCACCTAAGGACGTCGAGCTTAGGCCTCCAATATGTGGCGAGGACCTGCCTGTTGAGTCTGCTACTTGGGGGTAGGCCGGGGAGAGGAAAAGGAGGAGGGCTTCGAGTTCCCCGAGGTCGGAGAAAAATAAACCAAGGAGAAGGCTAGTGCGCAAGCCGAAGGAAAATACCAGCTCCCGAACACCAGCTTCGGACTTCCTCTATCGGCTTAGGGACGAGTCCGAGAGGGAAGAGCCTTTTGTGGCCCGCGAGCCGTCGCCCCTCGGAGAGCAACGGGCCGCTGAACCTGAGACCCGCGAGGCCGATCTTCCTCAAGCTAGGGAGGTCGATTAGGAGATCGGGCTGAGTCTTCCAAGGATGCGGACAGTGCCTCGAAGGAAGCACTTTGTGTGATAGACATCAGCGAGTGCTTGTTTGTCTTTGTCACAATTCACAAACAACAAAAGACACCACCCAAAAAAAAGAAAAAAAAAACAATAATAAAAGACACAAGCACACGCATTTGAAATATTAGAAAATTATTGAAGAACTTGTTTGAAGAATAGTTTAGGTGAAACAATAATTTTCAACCACAAATCTTCAAACTGTCTTTTCAATAAAAAATTTGCTCAAACACAACTTCATCTTCCAAATATCACCTTCTGATTTAGAAACTTCAAATACTATTTTTCACCCGAATTACATTGTCCCAACTAAAGCTGTCTAACGGGCCGGTTAGACCCGCTACCGGACCGGCCCGGTTCATAGGGGGCCGGGTGGGCTGGGTAGGGGGTAGGAGGGGTTTGCACGGTTTAAAAAATTTTACCGGGTAACCGGACCCGGCTAAACCGGTACGCGTGAATAGTGATGTAACTGGTTAAACCGGCCCGGTTCAACAACGGCCAGAATTTTTTGTTACTTTTTTTGAATTTTTCAACGGATCAAATCTTGAGGGGCCCACTATCCGTTGGTGACAGGAAATAAGGCAGCAGATCCGTTAGCCAACGGATCTAATTGATCAAATAGCCATTTTTTTTTAATTGTAAGTTTTTAACCCTTTTGAATTTACAAAATTAACCTTTTTAAAAACTATAAATACCCTACCCCCCCCCCCCCCCTCTTCATTTCTTCACTCAAATCTCATTTCTCAATCTCAATTTCTCTCATTCTCCAATTTGCAATACTTCAATTCATCATTTCATCTTCTAATTTTATTTGGCTCACTTTTCTTGAATTTGATTTATCGTGTTTTGTCATTTGGAATTTGAAGTTTGAAGTTTCAACTTTGAACAATTGAAGTTCAAAATTGAAATACTTGCTTGACGAGTTGACGTTTGTTCGTGGCAACATCGGAATTGCTTAATCAAGTGCTACTTTTATTGTCGAATTCGGTGCACTCTCTCCAACTCTTTCTTTTATTTACTATTTTAATTGCATATTTAATTTTAGCTTATACTTTAATTTTTACAATATGTTGAATGCTGCTAAAAGAGCGTGTAAAAAAGTTACTGGTAGGGAAAATAAAAAAAGAGATTGTCCTTCAGCATCTGGTAGTAATAGTAATACCCAATCTACACATGTTTCCGAAACATCGCCTAATGATAATATAGATTATGAACAATTACAAGAAGATTTTGGAATAGAAGATAATGAAATAGGAATGGAAGATGAGATATCAGCTACACCTACTAGTGTTGGAGCCGGTAGTGTTAGAGTTGCTACAAGGGGTGGTGGTCGTGGCACTAGTAGTAGACCACCTGTGGCTCCGACTACTAATCGTAGAAAAAGAAGTAAGGTTTGGAATTTTTTTGAAATAATAGAAGGTACTGATAGAGTTAGATGCAAAATTTGTAACGATAATTTTAAAACATTTGACTGGAGGAAATTTAGAGGGGACTGGGACGCTTAGTAGACATATGAGAGTTGACCATCCCATAGAATGGGGCGTTGATGGTGATGAAAATCAAACAACTATTAACCCTACTACTGGAGGTCTAGTGAAATATGATAAAATGAAGGATCGTGAGGAGTTAGCAAAAATGATTACTTTGGGTTGTCTACCTTTTTCTTTTGCTTCTTCATCATATCTTATTATGTATATTCAAAGGATTTATAATCCTTTATTTAAAGGTATCCCTAGAAGTACTTGTAGAGCTGATATCTTTAGACTTCATGGACAGTATCAAACATACATCCGTTATTTGTTTAGCCACCTTCCTTGTAGAGATTGTCTAACTTCTGATATTGGCCATGCTGTTAATGGAAATGATTATTTGACAATTACATGCCATTGGATAGATGATACTACTTGTATGCAAAAATGTATTATCGCTTTTAAATATGATGAAGATCAGAGTCATACTGCTGCGTTTATAAGTAGTACTATTGTTGAAGTTGCTGAATTTTATAATCTAAACAAAAAAGTATTGTGTATGTCTTTTGATAATGCTTCTAACAATAATGCCGCAATTTCAATATTAAAAATGCATTTGAAACCACCTCTTGATGAAATTTTTCATGTTAGGTGTGCATGTCATGTTTATAATTTAATTGTTAAAAGTGGCCTTGATTTATTTTCAGCTGAGATTACTCATGTTAGAAGAGCAGTTGGTGTTATTCAAGGAAATAATAGACAATCTAGAATAAAGGAATTTAAGAATAAGTGTGTCCAGTATAACCTTAAACCTAGATTCATGCCAGACGAAATTGTTACTAGATGGAATTATACATATATATTTTTAAAATGTTACTACAAATATAGATTCCCAATAACTGAAGTTGCTAATGCGCATTGTACTGATCCAAGGCGTATGTTAACAAGTGTTACTTGGGAGGTCATTAATGATGTTGTTAAATTTTTACATAAATTTTATACAGCTACTGTTGAGTTTTCTGGAGCATATTACCCCACTGTTACTATGGCTTTAGTACATATAGCTGAAATTTCTTTTCTACTATCTGAATTTAAGAAGAAAGAAAAATATAAGGATGTTGTTGAAAAAATGCAAGCAAAATTCAAAAAATATTTCTTTCCAATTCCTCTGATTTGCTTAATTGTGCAGTTTTAAATCCTTCTATTAAGATGTCTGATTGTCACCAATTAATGAATGCTTTATATACTTATATGGAGATTGGACCAACTGAAACCCCACTTTTACATTGTACTCTATGTAACAAGCTAAATGAATATTTACAACAACTATATAATTATTATGCAAATGTATGCGATGATGCTGCTCGTGCTGTAGGCAATGTTAATCCCACTATGCACTGTACCACTTCTGCTACTGTGGATGATGAAGAAGGCCTTGATAGTTTTAATATTTTTTCTACATTTTCTAACACTCAAACCAGTAGCAGGAACATTGATGAACTTCAATTCTACTTGCAGAAGCAAAAAGAGCATCGCACAAAGGAATTTTCACCGTTAGGATGGTGGCATGAGAATGGAAAGCAATTTCCTGTTTGTTTCGCTATGGCTCGGGACGTGCTGAATGTGTCAATTTCTACTATTGCATCGGAGAGTGCATTTAGCCAAGCAAGACAACAACTTGGAGACACCCGCCACTCATTGGGAAGCAATGCTTTGGAAGTTTTAGTATGTTTCAGAGATTGGATTAGATCGGAACGAAGAAATCAAGGAAAGGAAGATGTTGATAGCCCAGAAGACGAGGAACTTGGAGATATATTAACACATGGAAACCCATCCGAATTTAACACTCCAGAAGAAGGTCAATCGGTTCATATTGATCATGAAGAACTTACTAAGGCAATGCAAAATATTTGAATGTACTACTTTACTTGTTGAAAAAAATGTAAACCTTTCATTTTGTAAGTTTGAAACTTTAAATTAAGAAATAAAAGTAGCACTTGCAATAAGTGTAATTTTTTCTCATCTTCCTTGTATTCTTTATGTTAGTACTTTGTATTAATATAACTTACAATATTTATACTAAACCCGGCCCGGCCCGCTCAACCCGTAACCCGTACGGTTCAATTTTTACCCGTATGAACCCGAACCCGTTAAACTCGTTAAGGTCCAACCCGTAACCGGCCCGAACCGTAACCCGTACGGGTCAAAAAAAAATTGACCCAGTCCGGACCGGTAGGCCCGTTAGACAGCCATAGTCCCAACGCATACTCAAAGACACTCTGAGATGCTGGATAATGTTCACAAAAGTAGAAATCTGAAAATAGTCTTTTCTGTAGAATTGAGCAATATAGCCTTACACCAGTAACAACATATGCACAAATCAGATTTTCAAGCAACAAGACAAAGGTTCACAACAACAATAAAAACATGGTGGATAATAGAACATACAACCATCCACAGTGTGAAGTTGGAACAAGTTACTTTGGTTATACAAAAGACAATAGGAGTACTAAATAGGGGATATCATCCCTTTGATAAAGCAGGAGCAGCATGCTTCACTATGGTCTGCTGCAACTCCTGTTTCCTGTCACCAACAACCCTATCCACTTCTTTTCCTTCTTTAATGAAGACAAAAGTTGGCATTGCCTCCACATTCCATTCCTCGAAAACAGACTACAAGAATCACAATCCATCGCTAATTATACTACTCAAAGTACGATAACAACACTGATAGAAAATTTGATTGGAGATGTACCTTCAGTTCATCAACATCAACCTTGAGAAATATAACATGGGGCATCTTCTTAGCAATGTCAGCAAGAATTGGGGCAATAAAACGGCAAGGGCCGCACCAGGAAGCAGTAAAATCCACCACCACCTGAACCAAAGAGTTGTTTTCTTACATAAGTTAAATGAGTTAAAAGAAAAGATTTACCACCAACAATGTCTAACAATCTGAGGCATATTTAAAAGGTACAATCATTCTGCACAAATTCTACTCGGTCTAACAGCTAGGTGCTGCTAATGTATACTAACTTCAACTCATGTTCATATAGCTAAATAGTTTGTAAAAATACATATGCTTATACTGATTTCAAGAAAGATTTACGCCCAACTTCTAGAAATCTGAAGCATACTTACGGTTACCATCATATTCTATTTGGGCCTTAGCAGCTACGGTCTGATGTATGGTGACAACTTATATTCCAGGATATTGACACTCAGAATTTGAATAGAAAAGAATGGCTCTACAAAAATATCTTTTTTACTGATCTCATCTGAAAAATCACATAACTAAAGTAATATGCATAATGGACAACAAAACCAAATCTCCCCTTATAAACATATAATTAAGTTTTAATCAAAAAATGCACATCTGATATATAATACTAGAGTCCTTAAGCAACTAAATAATCACAAAGCAACAAGTTAAGCATCACATCAACTTTATAATTGGGTCATATCTTCAGAATAGATTCGATTATCGAATTCTTTTCATATATTTGTCCACTAGGGGTCCAAACATGCTACAATTAACTGAAAATCAAACTACGATTAGATAAAATAATAAATTTTAAGCAACTAGAGAATCAGATCAGAAAAATGTAAGCAAACGGAGACCCAAACATACCCACAAACTAGCAGCAACTAAGTAAATCAACAAAGTCAGATACAATAAATCGCAAGAACAAGAACCCATTTTCAAAATCAGATTTTGAGCAAAACCCAAATCGCAAAATAACAAATAAGTCGGGTGGAAAGAAAACATAGTTACCATTTTATATAAAATGCGGTTATGAACCACGTTTTATCTTAACGGCCGTTTGGAACATTAAGATAAAGCGCGATTTGTTACTGCGTTTTATATAAAACGCGTTAATGAATCGCGCTTTACCTGGAAGCTGATAAGACGGCTATATAAAGCGCGGTTCATTACTGCGTTTTCATTACTGCGTTTTATATAAAACGCAGTAATAAACCGCGCTTTACATATATAAATAATCGTCCCCTTCCCTTTCCCTCACGTTCTGCACAGACCCCCCCCCCCCCCCTTGTTTAAAAAATTCCAGCACCTCCCCCCTCCATTGACGATCCAAAAAGCTCGTGTGGACCCCACCCGTCCCGTAAAAAGTAGATATTGTTGGTCCCACATCCTAGCCAAGCCTTCTATTGTTGTGGGTTGCTTGTTTCGGAGTCAAATTTTCAAATCTTCAACTTTCCGAAAAATATTCGAGGTATTCCGATTTAGTTTATGTCCAAACTCGTATAAATAATGCATATTAGTTGTTTTGAATGTGTTGTATGTTGTTTTGTGTTTTTTTGCGATTAAATTGGTATGTTATTTTTATCCGGACTAAAATATTAATGTTGTAAAAAAATATTTAAAAATTATGAAATCGTTATTATTTGTTAATAAAAATGTTAATAAATTACTATTACTGTTTTATATGTATTTTTGTGATTACAATGTATTTGTTGTGTTTTATCTGGTTTAAATGATTTATTTGCTTAAAAACTAGTAATATAGTGCCTTTTAGGGTAGTAAAATGTAGTACCTTTTAGCGTAGTATAATGTAGTGCCTTTTAGCGTAGTAAAATGTAGTACCTTTTAGCGTAGTTTTCCTACAGTTTAAGTATCTCTTATACTCAAAAATACGTCAAAATAACTGATAGATCAAATACAAACTCTATCCAATTATAGTCAACATATAATTGGTGCTACTGGGCCGCAAATATCGAGCCTNTCAATCCTTGCTAGGTGTCTAGACCTTTCAGTGACCCAGATTAGGGATTTTTCTTGTTTTGAATGTGTTGTATGTTGTTTTGTGTTTTTTTGCGATTAAATTGGTATGTTATTTTTATCCGGACTAAGATATTAATGTTATAAAAAAATGTGTAAAAATTGTGAAACCGTTATTATTTCTTAATAAAAATGTTAATAAATTACTATTACTGTTTTATATGTATTTTTGTGAATGTTTTGTGATTAGAATGTATTTGTTGTGTTTTATCTGGTTTAAATTATTTATTTGCTTAAAGACTAGTAATATAGTGCCTTTTTAGGGTAGTAAAATGTAATGTCTTTTAGCGTAGTAAAATATAGTGCCTTTTAGCGTAGTATAATGTAGTGCCTTTTAGCGTAGTAAAATGTAGTGCCTTTTAGCGTAGTTTCCATGTAGTTTAAGTATCTCTTATACTCAAAAATGCGTCAAAATAACTGATAGATCAAACACAAACACTATCCAATTATAGTCAACATATAATTGGTGCTACTGGGCCGCAAATATCGAGCCTGGAACCCATATATGAATATTTAATAATTAAATATTGTATAATTATAAAAATTAATTATTTAATTTACAAACAAACACATAAAATTATAAAACTAACATGTAAAATAATAAAACTAACAAATAGAAGAATTCAGGATAAATTGATGCTACTGGGCTCCAAATATCGAGCCTGGAACCCATATGTGAATATTTAATTATAAAAATTAATTATTTAATTTAGAGAAAAAGGCCATTATTGCCCCTGTACTATTGGAATTAATGCACGTTTGTCCCCCGTTACACTTTACGTTCAATCCCCACCCTACCGTTAATAAAGTTTATGCAATTACCCCTAACCCTAACGCCCCGTCGATGTGGCAGCTGACCCCATCTCTTTTTTTCAAGTCAGCTGCCAACTCAACTGCCAATTGGGACTTCCACTAACTTATAAGCCCCAAACCCAACGGCTATTTAGCCCCCCAAAACCAATTTCAGTCCAAGTAATTTGACCCATACCTAGCGTCTTCTTCTTCTCCCCCAAAATACACTCCATTGCTAAGAACTTAGGGCTCGACTGAAATCTTCCCAAAATTGCTCTTTTCTTCATTCTCGTCGTAGCTTTAGTTGTTAAACGTCGCAAGGTAGCTATTCATCACAGATTAGGTGTCGCTGTGACATTATAGCCAAACAATTCACTTCGTCTACTCCATATAACCCTGGAAGAAAATTCTACAAATGTTGAGACCTAAGTTACCATATTTTTCAGTTTTCTCTTCTTCTTTTTTTTTATTTATAATTTTACTATAATTTTGAAACCTAAATGTTCTTTTTGAATTATGTTTGACAGCCTAGTTCATGTGGGTTTTGGGAATGGGAAGATGAAATCTTCCCGCAAAGTGATTGGACTAATATTAAAGATGTAACATCGTCGATTGAGGAGATTAAGATGCAAAGGGACAAATTGAATGAAGAAGTAATTGCCATGAAGGCTATACACCAATATGAAGTGGATAAAGTCGTCAAGTTGGAAGATAAACTTGCAAAGACAAGGATGTTGCTTATGATTTCTTGGGGATTGTTTATTGGTTATTTTGCGGCGTCGATGAAGAAGTAACTATTTTGCAAATTCAAAGTTGCTCATGTTGAGTTTTATATGTGTAGCCATGTTGTAGTAGTATTTTTATGTTCTTTGATGATGATGTTGTAGTAGTATTTGTTGGTTAGTTTTTTCCCTTATTGTATACCCTAAAGAAAGAGTTTTTCTTCTCCAATTCCTAAACATGTTTGTTTTCTTTATAAGATATGATAGTATATTATCTAGTGTACAGAAATTTTAAGATTCTATTTTGGCATGTTGAATAACTACATTCCAAGTGCAAAACTGAAAAACAAAAGACACAAAATACAGCAGCAATCCAAGTTGCAGATTCTAAATGGCAAGCTGAAACACTTACATTCCAGACGTACAGAAATAATTATCAATAATTGTCTGTACAAAACTGAAACACTTACATTCCAGACGTAAAAATTGATAACTAGATAACTGGAAAACTGAAATTGAAATGGAACAAAATGGACAATAATTATCTGAACACCAACCGTCAACATTCATAAACATTCACCAACTTTCACCAACTATGAACATTCATAAAGTGAGTTTATAAGACAGCTGGATACCATATTATAACCCCGAAAAGATGTCAACACCTAGTTATATCATCGCATCCAACTTCACAACTAAAGAACCACAACCAAAATATAAAGTTTACTGACATGGCAGTAATTACAACACATCCAAAAATTTACAAATGTTCAATACTTGAAGCAAAGTCACATCACTTTTGCTCCTTACCACTACCCTTTCTTGCTTTCAACTTGTTCAACCTTTGTTTGTTCAACTGATTTCCAGTGATGGCAGATTTTTCCAGCCATGTTAGGCCTTTTCCTGAGAAAGTAAGCTTTGAAGGCTGACTTGCACCGCTTGAATCACCAGCAAATCCAATTTTTCTGGTTGTAGTTGGTACACTTTGCTGCCTCAGCTGGAGTCTTGTCCTTGCTTCTGAGATGCTCTTTGGTCTTATAGTTATGTCAGGCTCAGGTTCAAAGTTAGGGATCTCAAAATCTGGATCATTGCTAGTTGGAAGCTGCTTTTGAACAGTAGGGGTTGGCATAAACACAAAGTTGTTGAACTGACTGTTTTGACTTGGCTGGGGTGCTGATAAATGGAAGTCATCTTCAGTTGGTGATGTAGTCTGTTCAGCATCAGGTTCATCAACCAAAGTTCTTTGCTTTTTGTTCTGCTTTCTCCTTGAATTCCCACCCATTGCTTGTTTTCCTTTAGAGTGCTATTATCAAATAGAACACAATTATATGTTAGAACAAGGCAGAATAAATCAGAAGTTCAAATTTATTGTTCAAGAGATAGATTACCTTGGCACAACCCCTAGCATTATATCCAGCTTCTCCACAGTTATTACATGTCATGACTCTCCCTTTTCTGGATTGAGACCATTGCCCTTGCCTATTGGTTGACTCATTTGCCTCTCTTGTTCTTTTTACTTTTGGTCTGCCAACTTGCCTTACAAATTCAGGTGGTTCCATATTCTTGGAGGGCTCTATCTTCCAGAACTTTTCTCCTCTCACATGTTGCAACTTATGAGAATAAGTCTGGAGATATGCCTCTTTTGAAAGAAACCAGTGAATCTCACTGAAAGGATCAACCTTCTTATATAGTAGGGCACAGATTGCATGAGGACATGGGATTCCACAAAGGTCCCATGTCCTGCCCATGTCCTGCAAGTGCATTTTTTTCCCTCAGATTGACAATATGCCTATCACTACCTTCTGTCACCTCATAACCTTGGTCAGCACTGCCATTCACATGACACTTTTGTGCAATCCTCATGAATTGGTTATACAGATTTAGAGTCTTAGGACTGTACTCACTTCCCCACCCCATCACTTCAGCTTTATTATCATTCAACATATTCATAACCTTGATTCTGATCTCCTCTAACATCTTTATAATTGGCTTGTGTCTAGCTTGCAATATCCATGCATTTAAGTACTGAGTCAGGTTATTATCCACTTACTGGTTCTTGCAGATAGTATCAAAGAAGGCCCTACTCCAGTAGGTAGGTGGATACTTTAACAGATCTTCAACAACAACTTTACCATCATCATCCACTTGGCTCATACTCTTCAACTGATCTTGGAAGTTCGCTTCATAGGTACTCCAAGCTGCCCACCACGGATATTTCTTGTATTCCCCAGATCCCCATCTCTTGCACCAGTTTGCTTCTATGTGTCTAACGTAAAATCTGTGGTGTGCCTCAGGAAGCACTTCTGAGATTGAATCAATCAGCCCCTACATATAAGGGAAAGAAGAAGTATGAGAATCTATATGTACAGATTGGAAAAATAATAAAATAATGAAGTAAAGTGTTCATACCTTTT